CTTTCTAACTAGCTATGAGTCCAGAAAGTCTGTTACTGGTTTTTATGGGTTTTCTTGCTTCGTATTTAAGTGAGGATTTTCCTTTGAATCTGTAACCCTTGTACCTCTAGGAATGGCAATGCCTACTTTTCCTTGTTTACTACTCTTTAATGAAGTGTTTTGTTGTTGGTTCCAAAAAAGATATGGATATTTGCATAATTTGGGATTATCAGAAAGAAGGCATGTTCTGCAGCACCTGTGGTAAGATCCTCTTCCACCTCATGGCAGATAGGAAAGGTACTAGGCAGAGGTCTTGTCTCCCCACACACTGCAGGCAGGGAGAATTCAGGTGTCCACAGTCAAAGCAGCTGAGTAAAGTGCACTTCTGTTTTCCTTGCAGTGTCAATCTCACATTTCTGAAGTATTTCTGGGCAGATGAGTCTAACAAGTTTTTTTTACCTGATATTAGGCTCTATTCCTCTGATGAGTTTGACTTCTAAGCAGGGCTTTTCTCAGAGTACAGATGGTGAAATCTTTGAAAGTGGTATTCACAGCAGAATAGCTGAAAAAGTTGTCATACTGCAAAATCCTATATGAAGGCAGAGTTCAGTCTGTGACCAAAGAGCAGAATTTTGCTCCAAGTACTGTTCTTTTAAAAAAGATCATGTTTCCATGTATGCTGGAACAGTCTTGGCACAGACACAAATACAGAACCCAGTTCTCTGAATCCTAAATTTAGCATATGGTCTCATTTCAGCATATCTCTTTGGTCACACGGGGTGATTGATGCTTTTCTTAACTGCATCAGCCTTGGTAAACAAAGGGAATAGTTTAAAAGTTTATCAGCAAAGCACAAGTAAAGATAACTTCTCTAAAAAATAATATTGCCTGTTCTGTATTTGCAGAGAAAAAATAAATTGATACCATGCAATATTCTGCACATACCCTCTGAGAAACAGATGTTTTTCCACAACTTTGAGAAAGGCTGTGACCTACTTCACAAATGTGCCTCCAAGATCTTATCCCACCTTAACTTTTCACAACCATTAGTAATATTTCTATATACTGGCAAATCTTTTAACTAGATGCTTTGTGACAGGGAAAGAAGAACTGCTTTTCCAGAGGTTTGTTTTTTTTGTTGTTGTTGTTTTTTGGTGGTTTTTTTTCTTCCATATATAGGAATATACTTTTAAGAAAGTACCCACAGACACAGAATAGCTTGTATTTTTGGGATAACCTTTGTGCCTTTTCAGTTATCCAGATGCTGCCAGAGTGAAACTGAAGGAAAGAGAACATTGTGTACTGCTCAGATGTAATGCCTGCCATGCCATTGCTTTCACTTTCTGTCTACAGCTGCTGTAATTCTAGTGAAGAGCTCTTCATTCTCAAAGGTTACACTTTCTGTATGGCAGGAGTGTTATCTCTGTGAAGGAAAAAACAAGTCAGACTTACTAGAATGTTCTTGCGGCAAGTAGGGAGGGACTACAAGCCCTTTATCAATCATTACAGAGTAAAAATATGTGTATATGCATATTGCAACAAGTTTACACCTTGTTGGGGAGTAGCCTTTGCCATGTTCTTGAAGTTTCTCGTTGCAAAAAAATAGGCTGAACTGACCACAGGACTAGCATGAATAGTGCAGTAATTAAAGCTTTGAAGATCAAAATAATCCCTTCATAAATTGTGGTGGCAGCCAATCCATGGGCCATGCTTCTTGTGTGGGAATGGCTTTTCACAGGTTCCCAGTGACCTCCCCCTCTATGTAAATCCCAGTGAGCCGGGGCTGATGTCTTGCCCACCTGCTGCTGGTTTGGGAATAATTTTATCGATGTCTTCATGTCCATGGTTACATTTAAGCACCCACCTCCAAAACAGCAAATGCCCCTGACTGTAGTCCCCTCTAATATTAAGACAGGTGGTAAAAATAGAGCAAGAAAAAGGAAATTACATTCCTGGAGCTATGAGTCTTAATACATTTGTAGGAGACATGATTAAAAATAATGATTTTTGAAGACTGGCTGTCTTACTAAGAATGCCTTACTAAGAATCGTAGAGTGATATCCTAGCAGGCAGTCCTACTTACAGTGTTTGAACGAGCTCCTCTTTTCAAATAGGGTGGAAAAATGCTTTCTGAGGTCCCATCTGCAGTTGACTGTGTTCTTGGTGATTAGTCTTCCTTTCCTCCATCATGAGAAAGCATAAGAAAAAACAAACAGGAATTATTTTCAACATAATGCCAGAAAGATTTCAACTTTGGGTCTCTGGGAATATTAATCATTTTCATGTGAAGCCCGCTAAGTTCCTGGACTCCTTCAGAAAGCTGACTATGGGAAGAGTAGTGTTAGCATGCAGCAAAACTGGGATCGAAGAATGATGGAGTACAAGGTGCTCTGCCACTGGTGTAGCTGGTGCTGCTCCTTCCTTCTGCTCCTTCCTTCCTCCCAGCTGGTTCTGTTCCTCTCCCTGGCTCCATCCATGATCCCTGCAGTGTGGAGGAAGATGGGGTCAAGTGACACAAGGCAGGCATTAAGCCGTTTTTCTTCTGATTAACCAGAGTGTGAAGGTTCAGGCAGTCAAAAGTAACCAGGCTTCTGGAGAGGTTTCTTTAGGCAGTAGATGGGTACCCAGGCTCAGGAGATCATGGTGGTGGGACCTGGATGCGTTGGCATCTCTGAAAATACTGTTAGACATGCGCTTTCCCTGGGTACAAAAAACACCAACAGCTGTATGTAGCGTCTTCTAGGTGCAAACGTTCAGGGGAAGTGCAACATTGAGGCTGACCAGGAGTGTGAGATGGGTGGGTAAGTGCTTCTAGTTTTACAGCCAGCACCAGATGATAAATGTTGATGTTGATGTTTTGTTGTCCTTAAAAGGATTGACTGTTCATGCTTTTTTACTTTCAGCTGGGTAAACACTGGAGAGAGGCTGGCAAGAAACTTGGCATACCTGTTGTTTTGTAGGGCTCACCTTAGTTTCTGACTTCGTAGGTTTGTTTTACAATTGATATATTTTGATGGATGGTGAAGCCGGCATGGTGTTAGGCAGTGGCCCCTGAAACTTGAAATAGGCATGCGTTTGCTGCCTGTTTTGGAGCATTTCAAATGTCTTTACAAACTGGAATGACTCTTAAAGTCAAGTGATTTAATCTGACTTTAATCACTGATGGACGGACTCCAGGTCCTCCCACCTGGAGCCAGGCTTCAAGTGCACCCAGTAATGCCATTTATGGACAGACAGGAGCTACTTTTAAGGCACTGTAGATGCTGATGTTTCTTTCTATACAAATTAATCATGCATTTGACAGCTCTGGATGGAGATACTGCACCTTCATTTCTCACACACAATTATTTGGTAGAGTTGACTTGGTATTTTCAATAAAAAAGGTGTTGTTGACATGCAACTGACAAAAACCCTGCTACATTTTAGCACCATTGTGGTCATTGCTGTCCTGAGGCAGACAGATCTGGGAATGTCTTCTGAAGACATCCAGCTTTATTTTCAGCAGCATGTGCTCTAAAAGGAGCATGGGTGGGGGTTTTGTTTTGATGAGCAGAAGCACGGCTGTGCTTGCTCCTTTGTGAAGGACATACTCCAGAAGATTCTCACTGTACCCTCCAGATGAACATCATTGTAAGACTATTTTTACCTGGGTTTGAATTTACTTTCCGATGAACAGGTCTTGGGAGCCACTCCTCTCTTCTCACAAACCAAACTTTTCTCCTGATTACCTTGGATTAATTTGTCTTGGTGTGGGTTATGGATGGGAAGGTGTGTGCTGACAGCTGCAGTTGCGAATCCCAGCATGCCAAAAAGGAGAGGAGCACCTCTCCACAGCATCTGTAGGGGAGCTGCTGGGGAAGCCCCCAGGAATGTAGGAGGGAAAAGACAGGTTGGCTCAATTCTGGCATGTTGGGCAAGACTGGCTTCCTTGTAGTAGCGATTGTTGGCAGCTTTTTTGTTTTCTGAGATATATTGCTTTGGTGCAAAGGCAGTTTCTGTATCTTCCATATTGCCTGTCCCAAGTGGGATTCATTGCTGCTACTTTCAAGATGACTTTTTTGCCTTCTGTCTAAGTTGTTCATTCAGATGGTTTGAAATTTGTCGGAGGAGCTCATTACCAGAAAGACAAGTCCAACAGCTAAATGGGATCACTCATATTTAGTATTGAACCTAATGCACAGTGTTTCCAGGAATTTGCTCAAAGTGCATGCATACTTAAAGATTCCTTACAAAGAAATGCATTTGTTGCAGATAATTCTTTCTGTCTTGTCAGACAAATAAAAATTTGCTCATGTTTTTACTACATTGCCATTTGCATTTTTCAGCTTTTACTCAGACTGTAGTAGGGGAAGATGGTAGAGATCTCCTGTACACATTCTGCAACCTGGATGAGGATTGTTGGTTCCAAGGGGGAGAGGGGTGCAGCAGCATAACTACATCGTTTGCCACCAACCTGGGGAAAAGTTGAAAAAAGTTGAACCCACACCACCCTTGCCCAGAAAACAACTTCCCTCTTACACAGAGAAGGGGTATGCACAAGGGCTTGTCTGTTGTTGGATTCTTGCGGTTGGCTGTTTTTTTCATATATGAAGTGAACCTGAAAGGGAGCTGAAGGATTGCAACTGTTTTCTGAGATATTTTAGAAATTTGTAGTTTACTGCAAGAGGCTGCAGCTGAAGCACGAGTGACCAGCTCCATGCAGTAGTAAACAAAATACTAATATGTTTGCTAAAAGATTGGTGTGACCATGGCTGCTGGTAAATTCTCTGAACACATCAAAGAACCTTATTGTTGCATTCAGATTTTAATTCCTTATTAGTTTCAAGGAAATACATGTCCTCAGAGCAATGAGAGGAAACTTTGAACGTTTTTCTTCCTCTTGTGCTGGGTGTGGGCTTGATACTGCCTAATTGTTAGTCTGTCCCATGCCTGTACTCCCATAGGAAGCGAGAACAAACCCATTTACAGTTGTGCCATTGCTGTGTGCTTTCAAATTTTTCTTTCTCTTTTTTATTTTTAAGATCAAAGGTGTCAAGAATAGTGGAGCAGAGAAGTTAAGAATGATGCAGAGAACACAGATGTGAAGAGCAAAAGAGAGAGGAAGGAGCTGAGCCTGGTGCAGAGGGGGCAAGGAGAAGCAGCAGCCTAAATGCAAGTACTTGAATGTGGAAATGATGGGTTCCAGGGTGCTTAACAGGCACTTAATGTGGTGTTTTAATCTGCCTCTAGTGCCAGTTGGTTAATGTTTTTAAAATTTTCTGCCTCAGGTTCAAGACTTTGGACTCTTATGTCAATAATTTACAGCTCTAAACAGGGAAGTGGCATTGAGGTCATGTGTGCATGTGAGAGAGAGAGAGACAGAAAAAGAAGCCAGTTTGAGTCTTAACTGGATAATAAAAGGTGGTGTAGTGTAGTTGAGGGGTGTGTGAAGCACTCACTTCATATCTGTACAGCATTGAAATGTAAAATAACAGCTAAAAAATCAGTGAGTGGATTGATCAGACAAAGCTGGAGGGAGGGGATGAAACTACTCAGCCAGAATCAAAGTGCTCTGCTAAATTGCTGTGATGTAAAATGTACTTTTATTAATCCTAGTCAAGTTCATGGGACTGAAACTGCCATTTGAAAGCCCTTTTGTTAGCAGAAGCATCATTTTAGCTAGTACAATTATGCCTCCTGCTTGTGATATTTTTTCATTATATATTTTTTTCTTGGCAAAAAAAAGGTCTTCTGCAAATGCAGGTATGTGGACCAAAAAAAAAGTGTCTCCAAGAATGGAAGTGTTTTTCTTTGTGCCTTCTGGTATTCCACCTGTATCAGCAGACAAACTTTTGCTGGTATCCTATGTCATCTTCAGATGAAGGTTTTCCTAACAGATGTGTACCAGAAGAGTATTTTCTGCCACAAAGAAGACTTTATCATCTCAGTTGCTTTAAGGGAGGTTCGCACACAGATCTAAAATAATGTTTATATTTACAATTGTTCAGCCTGCAAAGCTTTAATAAGTGTACTGTGTAGAGGTGGAGGAGCTGCCTGGGAGTTCTGCCTGGCAAACAAGTAACCTTGTCCCTTGTTCCCTGCAGCTCCTTCCCAGGTGGGTGACAATGCCTGTCGAAAGGATGCGGATGCGGCCCTGGCTGGAAGAACAAATCAACTCTAACAGAATACCGGGGCTGAAATGGCTAAATAAGGTAAGGGGGGATGTGCATGCATGTGCTGAGGGGGAACTTGATAGCAGTGGCTGAGGTCTGCACAGGTAAATCAGCTCGTTCCTGGTTTTCAAAGGGGTGACGGGGAGGAAGGGCAAAGCTGAATGCTTCCTGCTGAACCTGTTCCTCCAGTCTTGTCTGCCAGATCTGAATCCTCCTGCTTTGGCCTGGTAGATTTGTGGCTCATTTAAAAGCATTTTCCAACTCTTTGTTGTTGAAGTGAGTGTTTATGAAGACTCTGCTTGGACTTTTTTTTTTAACCTGGGAGCACATTGTTCAACTAGTAGCATCAGAGGCATGTGTTCAAAATACCCTCCTGAGGAGGAAGACTATGTTCTGTGTTAGGCTGAGTTGAAGCAACAATCTGTTGTTTCAGACTTGTGTGACTTCTCTGACACTTCTCAACTCAGGAGAAAATAGGGTGACTTTTTGCCTGCCAGACTCAAACCTAATATCCCTGGTCCTGAGCTGTTTTTGCTAAGTGCTCAAGACACTTTGAGAGCACAATCATGAGCAAAAGAGTGTCAGTGCCAAATTTGAATTTATTTTGTTTGGTTGAGTAAAACCTAGGAGTGTATTTGAGATTTTAAATAGCAATGAATTGTGGAAATGTTGCATGCTTTCTGCACTGTGCAGGAGAGTAATTCACCACACTGAAAAGCATGAAGCTGTTTTTGCTACAGAGGCTACTTTATTATCAGAATGGGTGGAAATGCAAAAAATCAGGGGCAGAAACAGGAACTGCCTGTCTGATTAAGTCACTAAGCCAAATAGTCTGGTATCCTCCCTATAGCAGTAGTAGTTGTGGTACTCAGGTGCTCATTTTTAGAGTTGAAGAATGGCAATTGAAACTGCTGCCTTTTCTTTCAGCTTTCAAAGGTAGAAATGCTCATGACTATGAAATTATCAGGAGCACTTTAAATTTCATCTATGAACCTTGTTTCTCAGTAACTTCCTGCATCAGTGACTCTCATGCTGTGGCTGGGTAAATAAATATTGTTTTATCCATTCCCTAGTTAGCTGCACTGTGAATTTGAGTAAGTCCTTGATCTTGCATAATGGGGTCATAGCTGAAGAGGAGACTGGTTTTTACTGTTGTCTTTGTAATTTGAGTCCCATGTTCGGGTCCTTCACCTTGAATATCTCTATTTTGGTGTTAGGTTTCCTACTGACAGTCTCTGTCTGCTGTCCTTTGCTGGGCATTCCTACCTAATCCTGAAATAATTTCTCTGCCTTGAGGTTTATTAAACTCTGCTTCCCCAGTTCTACCTTCTGATTTTGCATCAGCCTGGATTGCCTTTATTATGTTTAGCAAGAAAATTGCACTCCTGAGCATTTCTGTGTAAAAATGTTTGCACATTCATTCCAACAATCGATCATTAAACCAAAAATATTTTTATTTTTACTGTAAAATAAAAATCCTGACCATAAACAAAGCTATGCATGGAATCAATGAAGTGTCATGTGTACCGCAGCCTGTTCTGTACCCACAGAATCAACTTTATAGGCTGAAGTATTTTAATCAGAGTTTGGTAAAGGATACTTCACAGTTTAGATAAGAAGGTGTGTCAGATTATCAAGAGAATGAAACTCATGTGTGTGCACAGCTTTTAAGGAAATAAGGTTTAAATATTAAATAAATTATTACCATTCTGGTATGTCATTGGCTGTCTGTTCTTGGGGGCTTTTTCTGAACTGAAAAAATAATTAAATCTCTCTCAGTTAGAAATGACATATCAGGTACAGGTGACACATAATTCTTTCCTCTACTGTCAGTTCATCATTATGCCTCCAGAACAAACCCCTTCTTATAGGGCTTAAAGCATAAATACTTGTGTACCTCTTTGGTGAAAATGTTATCCTTCTGAGTGGCATGAAGTAGGAAGGGAATTTCTTTGCTTTCTCTTCTTAATTCCCTTTACCTTTCTTTACCTTTACTTTCCCTAAATACCTTTACCTTCTTTACCTTTCTTTACCTTCCCAGAGAGACAAAACTGGGAGGTATTAATGAAACAACATAGTTCAGCAGAGGGCAGAGGGGATGTCAGGAGGAGGAGTAGGAGAGGTCAGTGTTCCTCATGGATCTGGAAAAGGAAACATTCCAAGCTGTAACAAAGAGGCAACCTACTACTTTGATGGATGCTTGGAGTATTATCTTGGAGTTGGATGCTACTGTTTAAGATTTGTCCTGACTTTGTAGCTAGTATATGGTCTCATGCTCCAAGCATTTTGCAGTGCCAGAGCTCTCCCAGTGATCACAGAATATTCTGAGTTGGAAGGGACCAACGAGGATCCTCAAGTCTAACTCTTAAGTGAATGGCCTGTGCAGGGATTGAAACCACAACCTTGGCATTAGTAGCACCATGCTGCTGTTACCAGCTGAGGTTTGATCTACTTTCCTTTTCATGCCTATTCTAAGAATGTCACAGCTCTTCCGTTTTAGTATTCCCACTGGAATTTGGTAACAATTCCTGTTACAGTGCGAAGTTTTTGTGGGTTGTGTTTTTGACTTTAGGTGAGGCTAATTTTTTAACAGAAACATGAGATTTCTACACAAAAGTCCAGTGATGGAATGCTGGACCAGTCAGCACATGGTTTTCCAAGTCTGAGAGAAAGCACTGATGACCCCTTCCTGTTAAGGTCATTATTAGGCAGCACTGGCTGAAGAAGAATATAGGTAATGTTTGATAATGTGTGAAAGAAAGAAGTATTATTTAAATAGAAAGTATCCAGGCAAACTAGAGCAGAGCACTCTACTACATGGTGTAATCAGCTGTCTGCAGGATTTCAGGGAAGATTAGATATTTCGTAGTTGATGAGATAATCTGTAATATCTGTATGAGAGGGTAAACTTATATATGCATTATAAAATTATAATACACATAGCTTCTGTGAGTTTGTTCTTTGTATTATAATTTGGTATAATTCCTGTGCTTGAAGACATTTTGGGAAGAACTTTCTGTAATGAACAGAATCACTTTAATGACCACTTAGACTGCTGCTTAGTGTCCTTGCAGCTTCTTTTGAAGCAGTGAGTACAGTCGATGATGACAGGATGCTATGTCTGGAGTCTTGTTCAGTCTGCTAGGTTTTGAATTATCATATGGTCTATTTTAATCTGGTCTATTCTTAAAAGTTCTTGTTGATAGAAACTGTTTCCTATTGAAGTGATGATTTTTTTCCTATGCTTATTATAGTCTATGAAAGAGTAAAGGCAGACTGAGTAAAGAGTAAAAGCTTATTTTAGGTCTGATGAATACAGTAGTGTTATGGACCACAAATAGTGGCTTTGAGGCTTTCTTTTAACTGCTTTGAGTTGGGGAAAGAAGTATCTCTGTTGATGATTTACTTATATGTAGAGGGAAGAGTAAAGAGGCAAAAGACACGTGACAGAAGTGATGGAACTACATTAAGAGGAATATTGAGTGTGAGGACTTGAAGAGAATGAGGAACATGTTAAAACATTGCTTGCACCAAATTAAAGATGAAGCCAAGCAAGAAGGGAAGAATGCAATTCTGAACAAGCAAATACGACAGAAAGGATTAAAGACGAGTTGAAGGACAAAACACAGGCTCAGAAGAAGAAAGATCACATGGGAAGGAAGGGAAATAAATGGAGCCTTGGCATGAGTGAAATATTAACCAGACAGTCAAGGAAGAACAGTGGCTGTTGGGGAAAGGGGAAAGGGTGAAAGATTTATCTCGCCTGGCCAGACTCTACAATGCAGTCATTTAAATGAGAACTGCCTCTCTAGAGTTGTATGTAGTCTGTAGAGAGAAATTGGCTCTTTTAGGGTGAAATTCAGGCAGCATAGCTCAGGTGGTTGCTGCAGGAGGAGGGTGCATTTTGCCCTGGAAGTACTTTTCTCTTCATAGACTGATAATTGGATCTGAACCTGCAGTGACAGAGTTTATAGTGCAATATGTCTGCATGTGAAGCCAGATAAGTATTCTTCCCAATAGGGGAGAAAAAACAAGTGTTGTGGAACAAGCTCAGTTTGTATGGCTTTGCAGAAAACAGTGTGAAGAGTTCTGAAGCAGCCCTCTAGGTCAGGACAAAGAAATTCATTACTGTGTTGTATGACATAAAAGCACATCTGATCTAGTATCCTTCGGGCCCAGTATCCTGTGTGCTAAGTGCTTGTAGAAGGAGTGTAGGAAACATGTTATTCAAGCTCTGAAAGTCATTGGGCCCCCAGAGCTGGAGCTACATCCTAAAACTATCATCTTTAATAGTTGCCAGGGATCTTCCATGATCCCTTGGGGAATCAATTTATACCAACACCATGTAAGGCATGCCCTGATTTAGCTGTGTGTTAAAAACCAAATTTTTAAAAAAATCTTTATTTGCATTTCTTTAAATGCACTTTACTTTGGTCTAAATTTTCTGAACTAAAATGTGTTTAGATATCTTCAATGCACTTCTTCACGAGTGTCTGTTTTTTTTGTCCCCACTGGAGAGATGTCTACCGCTGATATATTCTTTTGCTTGGCATACAAATTTGCAAGATCTCTTTTCTTCACCATGCTAGTATTTACTGTCTGACTTCTAAATCCCTTGATTTTGCTCTGTTCCTATGGTTGTTTAGTTTCAGATATATTTTTGCTAATAATAAAAGTGTGTGTGCTGACAAAACAACGCTTTGTATGAAAGCCTAGAAATGTGTAGTACTGCATGTTTTTTCCATGTGTCAGCTCGGAAAACTGCCAGGCTCATCTTCCGTGAAGTGGCTTCTGAGTATTTCATACACTTGGACTGTGCTCTGCTTTGGTGATGCCAATGGATATTTTCCTGTTGATTTCAGTAACTGTGACACTGAGCTAGAAGGGAGCAAAACACTTGGAGACGCTGAAACTGTGCTTATAAATTAGTGACTTAAAATCATCAGAAGATTCCTCAAGTCTATCAGTGTTGGCATTTCCTGTTTGTTTTCCCTTCCAGGAGAAGAAGATTTTTCAGATTCCCTGGATGCATGCCGCAAGACATGGTTGGGATGTTGAAAAAGATGCTCCCTTATTTAGAAACTGGGCAATTCACACAGGTATTGGAACTCTCTTTTTGCAGGACAGATTTTCACATTGTTTTCCCTTTTAAAGTTCCATTTTCATTATGTCTTGTCTTTGCTTTTACTAACAGAGAGTGAACTCAAGTTTCCAGATTTGTGGGAGGCTAAGTGTTTTTTCAAGGTCTATGATACTCTCCAGCTTAATTGAAGTGCCATAACTCATTTGCATTGAGAAACACAGTAAAACATAATTGATTTAAATGTTAGCAACTGGGTTCAAAACTGTCAGGAGTAGTGCACAGTCAGCACTTTGTAGACATAGGCCTTTAGGCTTTTTATGCCTTTCTATGGATTTGAGCCAGACATAATAAAGGTAAATGCTGTGCAAGCTTTTCCATGCTGTTATGGAGTCACATCAGATCTGCAGTGCCCTGGGTCTTTCTTGAGCACAAACCGTTCATCATCTGTCCTAGAAATGTGCATGAGAATGAGATCATAGCACTCTCTTGCAACCTCAACTATTGTTAGAATGCTTGTCATGGGAACCAAAGGCTGATACCTTGAAGCTAACCTATGCTGTTATTGATTTGCCTCAAATCTTCAATCACATGTCATATGTGTCTAACTTTTCTTTTCTTGATCAGGAAAATACCAGTCAGGAGTAGATAAACCTGATCCAAAGACATGGAAGGCAAACTTCCGTTGCGCTATGAACTCCCTGCCTGACATAGAAGAAGTGAAGGACAAAAGTATAAAGAAAGGCAACAATGCCTTCAGGGTGTACCGGATGCTGCCCTTATCTGAAAGACCTTCCAAAAAAGGTAGAGGGGAGAGCTTTTCAACATGAAATGCTTTTGAGGGCATTGTGTTGAGAAAAACACCTACTGCAGGTAGCTCAGTATGCAACAAGCCACTAATGCAGGCTACACATGGTGCCCTGTCTGGCTGGGAAATGACTGAAACCTAGGAACAACTGTATGAAAAATGGGCTGCATTCAGAAGAGAGGATCAATGAGATGCAATACCCCCAAGCTGTTGATACTTGTCTGTTAAAGCTGATGGAGTTGTGTTCAGAATCTAGTCCCAGGTCTCCTTCAGTCAAGGAACATGATTAAGGGGTATTAAAGCTCAACACATTTAACTCAGTAGGGGTCATTCAGAATATGGTGGCAGACATTTTGGTAGCTTTTTTCAAGCAAGGGTACAATTAAACTGGCTCTGTCTTGAGCTGAGTGAGAGCAGTACACTCACTCAGAACATTAAACCATGAAACCACATTGTTAGTTACAAAGACCATGAAAACCCAACCCATAGAGCATGATAATGGTGAAATGGGAAAGTGTCTGAATCCCCAAATTTAGGAAATAAATCTCCTGCCTGCCAGGAGAAGACCTAACACCAGGTCAATCTTGTTGGTTTCTTTTGAAGTAGAAACATTGCTTTATTTAGGGCTCATGAGCTTTCAAATGCACATTTCCCTACTGGTTTATGCAGTAGAACAATGGTTTCCTTGGTCCTCTGGTGTCTTGTGCAGTCTAGAATTTTGGATGAAAAGATAATCTATAAACTAAACACATGGTGTTCTTCTAACACCTGTAGCTACAGTTTGCTACTTAGATTGAGAAGTGAAAGGCAGATTTTCAGTTTAAGGTCAGTGTGACTGGAAATTATGAACCACGGCATTTTTGGGGCAGAATCGTACTGTGAAAGGGAGACCAATCTGCAAAAGGTAGAACATTTATTTTGAAACTGTTTCCAGTCTCTTGTCAATAGTGTATTTTGTTTAGGCCAGTTCCCCTGGACCATAACATATCTCTTGGCAGTAGACTTGTGTAGGAGATAGAAAAGTTCATCTTTAAAGCTGAGATTCTCGGAATAGGGCCTGTGGCAGGAGAAGATTATGCAGAAAGTCCAGTTACTGTAAAACCCTGACATAATTTGGGCCTCATATATATTTTCACATGCCCTTTTTTTGTGTCATGTGGCTAAACATGTGTGGGAGCGAAAGAATCTGACTGCAAACGTTTCTAATTTTCTGTGGTATCATGTAGTAAAGATGGGCAAAGCTCCTGGGACATATCTATGCTAACACTGCGGCAGAGCTGAGCTTGCACCAGCAAGTCTGAGCTTCTACATCAGGTCAGAGCAGGGGCAGCAGCACTGGGGTCTGCCAAGGTGCACAGTATTTTGTGAGAGTCACATGCAGTATGGTTTTTGGGATTTCCAAGTCCAGCATGATTGCATAAGCCACTTTTGCATGAATTGTAATATGTATTTCCCTACCAGGTTGCAACTATTTACAAAAATATTGGTTGACGTTTATTATGATCTCTTTTCACATTCAATCAATTAACAATCTCCCTTTTCCTGTAGCTACAGAGAAAATGTCAGAAATGTGATGAGGCATATATTTTGATTTTTCTTCCCTTTAAGAATGTTTTTCTCCCCCTTTCTTTTTTTTTTTTAAACAGGCCTTTTTTTTTTAATTTGTCATTCCTCCATATTTTCACTTTGATTTTTTGACTGCAGTTGCTTTCCTTGGTCCCACTGTGGTTCTCTTTTGTAGCCTTTTAAAAAAGAAACACAAAGCCAGTGCATTCAAGGTGGTTTTTTTGCTGCCCAGGCCTTAAAGGAAGGGTAAAATTAAGTAAAATGTGTTCTCCCTTTGCTAGGAAGTCCTGCCATTTTGAGGCTCATTTTGGGGCTATTTGTTGGTGAATATAGAAACTGTGAAGGATAACTCATGGCACACAGGACTTTATGAAATCTTCCTTCTGTTGTTGCAGGAAAAAAGACAAAATCGGAGAAGGATGACAAATTCAAACAAATTAAGGTAAGAAGTGTCTGTTTAATGGTGCAAGAGCTTGTGAATACAGTCTATTGCAAATATTTTTTAACAGCCCCAAGAGTATGTTGTGGTGGGTACTTGCAAATGCTTGTGGTTGGTTAAGTAACTACAGTTACCCAGGATGTTTGGGGTTGGTTTTTTTTTGAAATGTGAAGGCTGTTAAAGTCATGACTTACGTCATCAATGGACACAGCCCTTGTGTTACAATGCCTGGAGGTTGGAAAACTGGCAGTCTCAGCAATACATTTGCCATTTGTTTGTCTCTGTAAGGAGAAATACAATAATTAGGGAAGGAATGCTTTTGAACAATAGAGCTACCTTTTGGAGCAGTTAATTTCTGTGTGTAAAGCACTGGAAATTAATTTTCATTTAGGCAAGGGTCAGAGCTGCACCTTGTGCTTATGCTTTGTCTGTTAGAAGGCCTCAGCTGTAAAGCTCTTCAGCTGCAGCCTGGGATTTCTGCTTGTTCAGAGTGTGGGCCCACACTGAAGTCTGCTGTCCCTGCAAGGCATGGTGTTTCCTGGCTTTCACACCTCTGCCAAGGGCCTCGGTGAGGTGGTCAGTATTACATATCAGCAGGAGCTAGTCCACCTTCAAGTTTTTTAACAAAAAAAACAAACCTCAGAGATTTCAGACTCTAAGCTTTCAGTAAAATTGGTGTCCTTGGGCTGTGTGTAGCAGCTGTGTCTACAGTGCAAGGGCAGATTGGTCCCCTGCTGCTCACTTGTGGAGGGCTGTGCCATTCATGCCTGGGTTCAGGCTCTGCAGCCTCTGGCCAGGAGATTCTCTGGGCCAGGTGAACCCAGAAATGTGGGGAAAAGTCCTCCACTGAAACGGTTTGGAAAGCCAGTGCTGCCACAACAGTTGTGACTTGTGCAGTTATGCGTCAGAATGGTGTGACTTTTAAATTGTGTTAAAGGAGCCACTCTGTAACTGTCCTGCTTGGCTCATACTGCCACGTGTGCTTGTTATCAAGTGGTAGCTGATGTTCAGAGGGAGCCAGTAAAATTGCTTTGGACAGAGCAGAGCAATGTGCCAGCACATACAGCTACCTACCAGTGATACCTCCTGTTAGTTCTTGTGGTTCTGAGCTGGGGCCAGGTAGTATTGTCTGTTGCCCCATTGTGACAGATGTGTGCAGTGGCTAGCTTGGATTTGAAGAGGTGTTCTTCCCATACTCAGCCACTCTTAGGCTGACTGTTGAATGCTGAAGGCTGTAGTAGTGAAGGGTAGTAAATTAATTAAAGCAAATGCACATTTCTGAGCATGAAAGCTTCTTAGAATTGCTTTGCTTGGTGATGAGAATTCCTGAGATCCTAGTTGCATGTTTTGAATTGAACACCTCACAGTTACCTCGAGAAATGTCTTTTAGTGGAGCCCAATGGGAGGCTACTCCACAATTTTCCTGGTAACTGCAGTGGCTGAATTTCTACCTTATCCTAGATGTATCCTCTTGACCATGCAGCTCCACATTGAGAGATATTTTTTTTAAATCCTAGTAACAGCTTCCTCTATGCATTTAGCTTAGGTTAGACATCTGAACACTGAAAATTCAGGTGATTTAACACCAACTGTGCCAGTATCCAAGTCTCTTTGTGGGTCTGGCACCATCACCTGAGTTCTAAGATGCATATTTGTTTCTGAAGCTTGAAAGGGACTACTAAATAAACTTCTCCGTAATCAATCATTAAAAGAGTTGAGGAAGTGCTGCATGCACAGTATTTCCATGGGGGCTGCTGTGTTTGCTGTGAATTAAAGCAAATAGCACCAGATACTCAAGGCTCCAGTGTGCAGCCCTAATCTATCTCTGCAGTTGTGACCCTCAATGGATCAATAGCAGCTAATTTTATCTTTTCAAGCTCTCCAAGTCTTTGACCTATGGGCCAGCACAACTAGCGCATCTCATCAAAGACCTAGTTGCCATTAACACTTAACTCTCCACCCTTCTGAAGTGCAGAGGAATGTTGCAACAGGGTGCATGTTTGCCTTACTTTAGTGTCTGGGAAGGTGCTTGTCTTGAAGTGACAATGCTTTTTGAGTAGATCACAATCACAGCATGTGACATCCAGAAAAAAACCTGTCACAGTGCCCCCAGTATTTTGTCCCAAACATAACAGTTCAACAGTACTGGGATGGGCTGGCACTGCAGGTCTGGAGGGTTACCTTTGCCCTGCCTTTGATGAAATGCTTTAGAACAGTGAAAATGAGCATGGCATGGACAGCTCTGCACTTCTGTGGGTGTCTCTGCCTCAGCAAGCAGAGGACAACTTGCAGCCTTGCAGGGCTGGTAGAGTGAGAACAGAAGACTTTAGACATTGTAACAAATAAACATGTGAGAGAGTCAATACCAGAGAGGAAGTTGCACATGTAGAATAATCCTTTTAAAGAAATCCTGAGTTAATGGAATTAATTTTTTGATGTCTACTCTGAAGGGATTTTTTTTGATTCCCACTCAAGTGTATCAGGCTTACAGAGAGGCATCTTATGGAAAGCTCAGTCTGTGTAGAACAGGTGGTGTTTTGCAAATGCTGTTGCCCTGTGGTAATGTTTATGATGTGATCTAAAAGGCTGTATTTAGTGTAAACACTTTGGTTTGCTTTCAGGCTCGCTATAGAGAAAAATTAAGGCTAGAATTTAGTAATTGCTGTACTTAGAAACCAAGGCTTCCTTTTAGAGAGTGCAAAGAGATAGAGCATATTTGGAAGGGAGTGAGGATGAATGTTAAATAGAATACTGTTTTAAAGCAGTGTTTCTTCCTTGTTTGTTTCAAATGTTAATCTCTTGTAGTAAATAGCTTACTACTTCCTTGCTCTCAAAAAGCTTACTCTAAATTTGAAAATTAAAAATCGCTTTCCTTTCAAAGAACAAGATTTAGAAATTAATTCGTCTCGGGCTTCTCCTCAGAGAAATATTTGTTTTAAGACAGTGTCTTGCAGAGAGCAGGGGGTATATGGCAGGCAGAAGTAATGGGATTTATTACCATCTCAGAACAAAGAGATGAACTATCTCCTAAAATAAAGCAATCCTGACCCAACTGTACTGTTTTCATTCTAGCAAGAACCAGTTGAATCATCTTTTGGGATGAATGGGCTAAATGCTGTCACTTCTGACTACTTCCTGTCCTCCAGTATAAAAAATGAAGTTGACAGTACAGTGAACTTTGTAGGTAAGTACTGCTATGCTTTTTTTACATATTAAGCACACAGGTGACTTCAAAACCCTTTTGGTCTGCCAGACTTATCTTTCCGTCAGCATTTTGCACTTCAGGGAATGCCACGGTTGGAGTCAGGTAGACCCATTTCTCAGTAGCTTGGGCCATGGAAGACTGTGGTTGCAGGCCAGCCCCACCACCTTGCAGAGACAGTGAGCAGTACTGTGCCACCAGGCTTGTTGACTTGAGAGTAAAGCACTTACAGGTTCTCTTAGCTGGCTTCTCAGGGTGGGCACTTACTCTACAGGATAGTCCTCAGCCATGAGGAGACTGTAGCCAATGTCACATGGGAGTTAAACTGCAGTCAGATGGCAGTTTCCCATTGTTTAAAGCAGAGGTTTGTATAGAATACCATTTTATTTGGGAGTTCAATCCAGCAGGCAAAATGTAGGAACTTGGTTCTTTTCACTGACACCTCCATAGCAGAGATAGTTTTTGACATCACTGAGCTAACGAAAAGGATCATCAAAGACTGCATTTAGATACCAGTACATTAGAAATTAGCTGTCAACTCAGCATGTGAATAATTGGTTCTCAGTAGAATAATTGGACTGGGCTTTGACAGCTCTTTTTTGGCTAAGGTTGTCATTGCAGCAAGAACTCCTAATAGTATGACCCATTTTGTCTAGAATTCCACTTTTAAATATGACAAATATTTTGGTATTCTGCTTGGAGAGATGGCAGAAATCATTTGCAGTGACTATTTTCAATCCTCATTTCTTAGGTCACAGGGCTTTGCATAGTCATTCCCCTGGAGTACTTGTGTAGCTGAGGAGTTTGTGAGTAGTTTTACTCTCTTTATGGCAGTTCATTTAATCAGCTGTTGCTTTGTCAGAACATTAGAACATGCTCCTACTGTTATAGCTTGAAGGAGTAGCACCATAGCGCTATTAGTGCTTCCTGTTCACTGACTGAGGATCGGGTAGGGAGCTGTCATCCATTGTTACTTAATTATTGAGATGTGAGGTGTGCTGCTTATCCAGACTGGAGAAAGAAGCAGATATTTAGGATTGCAGGAAGGATTTTAATGTAAACAGGGAGGAAAAGGTAAAATAGAATCGTTCTGCAGAGAGACAGGAAATCAGCTGGTGGAGACGAAAGACAAACAGCACCTGCAGAGTTTCTGACATATGTGCAGCTCACTGAAAACTGTGGCATATTGCCCAAGTGAGCAGTATTTTTTGCTGTGCGTTTTTATCTCTCTGGGTGGGTAAGAGTTTGTCAGGTATTGAGGAAAGAGATAAAACAGTGCAGATGGCCTGCTCATACCCTGAGCAGGTTGTGCAATATTATTCGTCTCTCCCAGATAAATTAACTGTGTGTGCTCTTGCACCACTCTCACCACACTCAATAAAATCTGGTTGTTTCAGAACAAGGAAAGGTGAAATAAAGGGGAAATTAAATATATGAAACATAATTGTAGTAATTGTAGTGACCAACTTAAAAAAACTCTATCTGGTATGTATGTAATTTTTTCTATGCTGGCATTGTTTCTTAAAATACACATCTAAGTTTTGAAGATTTTCAGTGGTTACCTGGCACTTCACAAAGCAAAATAATATGCATCTTTTTCCTGGGAAAAACACCTGTCACTTTTCTTTTCAAAAAGCCCTGTCTAAAGATAGAATGAAGGAGTGGATTGTCTGTATAGACATGTGCATTCTTGTTTATTTATCTTAGTTCATGCAGGAATAGATGCCATCTTTTGACTTTTCAAATTTAATAATTAGTATATTCAGGTTACTTAGCTGGAAAATTGCAAGATCTGTTGTATTTCATTGCCTACATGTTTTTCTCCACATGGGTCTAGGAAAGAATGGGCTGTTTGAACAACACAGCATTATATTTGTACAGAATTTAGCCTATTGTTTCCTTTATGTTCAGTGAAGAAATATCTTAGTCTTTCTCTTGGGTAACCATGGTTTCAGGTTAGCCATCCTCTGAGATGGCTCCATCCCTGTGCAGTCTTCTGAACTAACTCGTTGGCTTTCAGTTCTGTGCTGGATTAATGCATTTATCATGTATTCATACAGCTGGGATTAGAGGAGGAGTTGTACAAGACAGAGGAAATTCTGTCAAGCAGCTTCAGATGAGTGAGATTCTGGCTTTTATCATACTTTTGCTTTGCTCAGTAACTTCTTGGTACCTTGATTTGTCAACCTTTTTCAAAAGGTTGTAGTGTAGAACAACTAATATCTGCAAGGCATTTCAGGACACTTGGAAAGCATCCATGGTTGCTTCACTTTGTAGAAATAATAATGCTCCTTTGACATGAAATTTCACATACTTTTTTGGTATTAAATATCATGTACCTGGGGAAATAGGAAACCCCTCTGTTAATAACTAACCAAACTGTAGCTTTCTGTCACAGATCGTGGGGATTGCAGGTACAAATTTATTTTATGCATACCATCAATAGCATTGTGAGGGTCAGTGACAATAGCCATATAACTGGAGCAGAAATTTTTCATAGGTTCATGTCATATGTACATCAGAGTCCCACAATGTTTTGCTTGACCCCGTGGCCTGATTTTTGTATGCTGGTTCTGGCCTTCTGTTGTATAATTTATATTAGAGCATTCAGAGACTATGGGATGGTTTACAGCTTGCTTGTTGAGGATTGCAGATTTCCTTTAGAACTGTCACTGAAAATTATATCCCCTGAAAGCAGGTGGTGTGCATGGAAAAAAGTGCTGAGACTATTGAAAACTCAGATACCAAGCAGGCTCTTAGAGGTTCAACAGGGTTGAGATGCTATCAGTAATCACTTTTGTTGTTTCTAATCCCAAGTTGTAGGACATCCACACCTTGATGGCAGCAGTGAGGAGCAGGTGATAGTTGCCAACCCTCCTGATGTTTGTCAGGTGGTAGAGGTGACAACAGAAAGTGATGAACAGCCCCTCAGCATGAGCCAGCTGTATCCTCTACAGATCTCCCCTGTCTCATCCTATGCAGGTAAGCAACTTGGTGTTTCTTTACACTCCTTTTTCTGGAAATTTTGGGAAGATGCTGTTGGGGGAAAGAGGGTTCTGCCAGGCTAGCTAATGAAGATTCAGAAATGCATACTCATCTACCTTCTGAATTGTTAATGAAACTCAAAAATGCACAGGCTCTGCCCATTTCCTTGGGAAACAACTTGGCAGATCTGAGTTTGGAAATGTGAGCTACAGGTTTAACCTGTGAGTAATGGAAAAAGAACTTTTTTGGGTATAATGCAGAGATCTTTTAGAGGGGGATTTTCAGTGGTACAAATGACATGCCCTCTGCCTTACTAAAGATCAAAGGTCTTTTTTGCTCTATGTTTACTCAGTGTCTAGCACAGTGTGCAGTGTTAAGGGCTGCATTAATTGTATGTATGCAGATATGGAGCTGAGGGCCCACGGGGAGTGGGTCTGTCTTGCTGCAGACGAGAAGAGGCATATAGTGACTGATAACAAGTGATCTTTCAAGAAGCAGAGTGTGGACATCTGGCTTCTAACGTCTGCCTGCCATCTGGATTCTCTGATACCTAAAAAGAGGATGAGATAACAGGCTTCCCCCTACTCCCTGTGAGGGTGGTTATGGTTTCCCTTTTCATCTGGCCTCTTATTTTCATATAACTGTTAGGAAGTCTTTGGCACTCATTTATCCCTTATGCAAGTCTAACAGTGTGTTCAGAAGTTTCTAGGGGAGAACAGACAAAAATGTACGCGTGGAAATGCTGTATAGAGTTCCCACAATCATATAAGTCTTATTTCGTAGGAAGCAGGACAAAGCCATATTGGAAAGTAGTTTCCATATTGGAAGAAGTTTCAGATCCAACCTCTCCTTTCTGTTTCAGCATGGTGCTAATTTGCAAGCTTTAGGAAACTAGGTAGAAACACAAATGTCACCTTTTAAGGCAAATTTAAGTATTAATAGTTCGCCATGCATTTTATTATTTTACACGTGGGTTTGCCTTTGACTTATTAGACTGAAATTTCTTCCAGACACATTTTTATAAAGTATGTATTTAGTAATTTTTATCTTTGGGACCAAGTGAATAGTATGATGTTCTTTTGGACTGTCTCCACTGTTATTCTCACACATGTTGATAAATGATTATGCTTCCCAAAATGTTTAGTCTGCAATGACCAAAGATTTAGAATTTAGGAGACCTTTGCAAAGCATAAGGCAGGGAGATATGAGAGTGCATAAATTTATTAACAGAAGGGAGACAAGGGCCTTTGAAACATCTTTCTTCTTTACAAATGTGTCTTGGAAAACTTTTCTATCTATGCAAACATGACAATGACGCAATCTTTTATCTTCAGCTATAGGATGTAAATTCTAGAAATGCAAACAGAAGTCACTGTATTGGTCTGGAAGTCATAGTGGTTTCTTGGACTGTAATGATAGAGAAAGGTGGTCTGCTGACCACCTGGACATGAGCAAATCATGACCTACCTGCCCTAATGTCATTGCAACCAGCCTGCATAAGGAAAATGAAGGATGACTGAAGTACTTCTGATATCCCCTTACACTGTCTTAGTACCTTGGTGGTCTTCAGTTGTCCTAACTTATACCTGGATCTGCTAGCCCAAAACTCAGATAGCAGAGTTTCATGCCACTGGTGCGCTTTTGAGTACATCTCAAGACAGCTCTTGATGATCCTGGCTGCTGTAGCTAGAGGCCAGATGGAAGTGAAGTACTGCAAGGGAGAAGTCCTGGGACAAGTCTTATTTAATGTATTGATGAGCAGAAGATATATTGGAGACGTGTTTGTGAACTTCACAGATGACAACAAATAGGGCACACCAGTTGATATGTTTGAGGGCAGAACCATCATTCAGAGAGTCCTGGAGAGATTGCAGGAATGGGTCAGCAGAAACCTTATGAAGTTTAGCAAGGGCACATGTGAAGTCCTGTGCATTGGAAGGAAGAGATCTTTACAGCAATAGCGGCTGGGGCTGATGGTATGGCGAGTAGCTCTGCAGAAAGGTGAGTAGGCAGTGAGCTGAGTGTGAGACACCAGAGCACCTCAGCCACAGAGAAGGCCACCAGTTTTCAGGAGCATGGCCAGTAGATCTAGGGAAGTGATTATCCTCCTCTACTCAGCACTAGTTGTGCTACTTTAAAAGTACTGCATCCAGTCTTGAGCTCCCCAGACTAAGAAACATACAAACAAACTGGAGCAAGGGCAGAGGAGGGCTACGTAGGGTATGGCTTCTCACTCTGTGAGAGGATAGAGGGACTGGGGCTTGTTCAGCTTGGAAAAGAGATGATTTTGAGGACTTCATAGCAGCTGCCTCTACTGCAAGAATGTTCCTGAGAAGGCAGAGCCAGGCACTTCACAGCAATGCATGGTAGGAGGATGAGAAACAGCAGGCTAAATTGAAACCAAAAAACATGGTCCACCTGGATATAAGAAAAATTATCACCTGTTTTACCACAAGGACAGTCAGGCATTGGTGCAGGATACCCAGAAAGATGGTGCTGCCTCCATCCTCAGAAGTTTTGAAGACTGAAGGGAGAAGGCCCCAAGCAAACGAATCTAATCCTGTAGCTGGCCCTGCTTTGAGCAAAAGGTTGGGCTGTAGACCTTCTGAGGTCCCTTCCAGCCTGATTTGTTCTGTGAACCACTTTTTGGGTTTTGGTTTTTTTTTAAGGATGTATTTGCTCTCGAGGCCGGAGCGAGGACAGGAGTCTGTGTGTTAGAGCCCTGAAATTTCTCCGACACTCTTGTGACTATTTCTGCTTTCCACACAGACCTGTATAGAACCACAGGAACCTTGGCCTTGTACTTGTGGGTTTCCTCTGTCAGGTGCTACTGGCTGAATGGCAGGAAAGAGTATGATCATACAGCTGTACAGGAACAGTTAGTTGAGCTCTTCTAAAACAACAACCAAAAAAAGTAGCCAGATATGTCAGCTGTCCTACATAAATCTGGTTTATTTCAAAACACCTCTGGTTCTTTTCTGAGGTTACTCAGGCAAATTATGTGAGTCACCCATGTGAGTTTTTTCATATATCCACTGATGTCTGTGAAGTCCTTTTGGTTTTTATTACCGAGGCTGTTGTCAGATACCTGTTGTGTTTGACACTGATTCAAATACCCTCCTTGATAGAAATAACCTCTCTAGCTTTCCATGCCTTCACGGCCAGCTTCCCTGGCTTTGCTAACTATAGTGCTATCTCTTACTCAGCATTTTGTTATGTATAAACACCCAGGATGGATTCCTTTTCAGCTGCATCACTCTGTTTTTGTTGTGACACGCTTCTTCATGTCAAGGAATATCTGTTACTTGTCTCTATGTGGATTCATTCTATTGATTCTGTCTTCAGGGCTGTTTCTCCTTTGTGCAAATTAATTTTCCTTCTCCTCCCCCCAGTATGGCTTAATTAGCCAGCTCACATTGACACAACTTTCTCTGCCTGGGTCAGTGAAGGAGAAGCCCTGCAGTGCATTAACTTCACAGGGCATTGCAGTTAGATTTAATGTTTTGGAGTGTTCCTCTGCTTACTGCACACTGTGGTGGAGACTGGCGCAGGAGAGGTGCTGGCTTTGGAAGCAGCAGTCTGCAGTAGCTGGGCTGGAGTAAAAGGACTTTGAGTACAGTTTAGATCCTGGGGTCTGAACAATGGTTCAGCCCATTTATTTACAGTCTTCTGCCTGAACCTAATACTTAGCCAAACCTTGAGAGGATGGCAAGGTACTGCCAGTCCCTCTGAAGATGTGCAGGGGCATAATCCATTAGGCATGATCCATGCACTCTTAGCACTCATGTCCGGTGCAGAGCATGAGATTGGTCTCTGGGAAGGCAGAGTTGCACGGGCTGTGCAAAGCAGTTTGCATAGACTAAAATACATAACACAGAGCTGAGAGTGAAAATTGGGGTTTCAGAGCCCTCTTGCCTGCTATGATAATTCATCACATCATTCCTTGAATTGTGTGGTTTCTGTCTTCCTTTGGATAAGCCCCGTCTGTGCAGCCCTGCTGTGGGGTTTGGAGTGTTGGTATCCTGATAGATGCCTAGGGTTATCCTCCCAGGAAACAGGACACTGTGGTTCAAAACCCCACAAGCTGAAGTAAACCTGCAGTCCAGGCCTCCACTGGATTAGTCTGGGGAACCAGTGTCTGTGCTGAAGGCAGCAGCCATCACTGCAGACTGACAAGAGGGGTTTCTGCCCTGTCTCGGAGGTATCTGAGGCACAGCAGTCTCAACCACTCATGGACCAGGAACCTGACCCTCAGACAGCAGGGGATGTGTCTTTAGGCACATGTAGGCTTAAAAATACAATAAAACTTCCTGGATTTAGGGCTCTTCTGCAAGGGAGGGCTGCAGCTGCAAGAGAATGGCTGTCCCATTGGAACTGTACTCTATTTGTGCTCTGGTTCAAGTGGATGAAGGGTTAAGAAACAGGCTGGAGAGTGGTAGCAAAAGCAAAACTATACCAACTGTACCAGAGTCTATCAACAGTAATAAAGCCCCAGAAGTGACAACAAGCACTTGAGGTGGCAGGCTGAAATAACTGTTCATGAAACAAACCCACATTTATCTCCTCTAGGATGGAGTTGTTACTGATTTTGCCAGGGTATAAAGATTTGGACAGAACTTTGTCCACGGCAGGGCCTGGAGTGGCTGTAGGGGGCAAGGGAAGGGGGGCATCCCCTGCTTGCTGGAGATTCTTCCCAGAAAGCACAAATCTACTTCTTCCCTCTCTATTACTGTCTTTTCCAGAATAGACATGTTAACTGGGATAACCATGTGAATTTACCCCAGTTGTTCAAGGCAGCTGTGCTGTCTAATCCTGCTGTGGCAGGGTCTCCATGCCTCTCCATTGTTTTCTGGTTGTTTGACTTGTTTCTGTTTGCTTCCACTTGTTGGACATACATCAGTCCTCCTGAGCTGGAATTTGTTCCTATAGATAGAACAGCATGAGTTTCATTTTTGTTTCTATTCTGTTTGACAGAAAGTGAAACAACTGACAGCATTCCAAGCGATGAAGAAAATGCAGAGGTAAGTGCTTTCTGGATTTTTAGCAGTTTGGGTCAAGGTCTCCCTGAGATATTTAACTCCCTTCTCTATTGCAATTCTGTCTACCTGGGGAATATTCATTTTGGTAATAGCTAGGGAAGAAAAGCAGTCCAGGAAGGTTCAGGGGATACAGACGATTGTCAGAGACAGATGATTGTCAGAGAATTAATATCTCTACAAATTAACTTCTCCTTGTCTGTCCAAACTACAAGATTAATTTGCATAATAATATGTTCTGCAGTGCCATCAACAGTGCCAGCTAGTATGTTAACATGATGCATTGATGTTGCTGGGTAGTGAGTATTTTATTTTGGTTGAAAGCTCGCTCACTTCATTTTCCTTAAATGGCACCTGAACTCATATAACTGGAGGAAATGCTTACACTTATGACTGAAATGAACCTAGAATATTTGAGGTAGATGGGGCAGAGAGCTTTCCTGAGCAGTCAGTTGGATATTGCTGGGTGAAAGGAATCCATGGGGAAAATAACCTGAGCTGCACATATACAAAAACACCTTGCCTTTTATTTTGGTGCTGCCATCAACGTGCCAGACCTACCAATCTCTATGTGTACCTAAAAGCCAAATTAAACTCATTGAGGGCTCTTGGATGCCCTGTGCTCCAGCTGTATTTTTGCATAAGGCCTTTTGCAAAGCTCTCTCCTGCTGTGTCCCTCACCAAAGGCTCTCTAAATCCTCCTTCTTGGAGGACTAGAGGTTATGCATCTGTATAACAACATGGCTAACCCACATGGTCTCTGGTGCCTTGGCTGGGGTGGTGCCCATCTGTAGACTGCCAGTAGTGACTCCACAGACCTCCTTCAACAGAACATGCCATTGCAGCATCTGTGGTGGGCAAACAACTGAATGATCATCTACGCTGTGATGAGGGATGCACTGTCAAGTGACAGTGGTTTCCCAGCAGCCTCACCTGTATTGCTAGCTTGGGTAGTGTTGGGTCTCTGTGCCTGCCTCTCTGGTAACAGAAGAGACACTACCATTTGGAGTTTTAAATGTCTGCATCCATTTTTGTCTCTGGCATACTGGGAATAAGGCCTTTATTTTCCATTCAGAGGAGCTATAGATAGTGCTTCTTGAGTGGTGGAGAGCCAACAACATTTAAGCTCATACATGACATCAGAAAAGGAGAAATGGCTGAGAGCAAAGTTATCCTAAGCTAGTGACTAGAGGCTCAGGCTCCTAGAGGTGCAATAATTCCCATGCAATATGTCGATATTCCTATATTCATCTTGTTACTTGGAGTACTTCACAAAGTTGTGTTCTCTTACACAGTCTTCCTTTCTTCCCCCATTTCTAGGGACGACTTCATTGGCAGAAAAAAAACATTGAAGGCAAACAGTATCTCAGCAATCTAGGAATGAGGAACACTTCTCATATGCTTCCCAGCATGGCAACTTTTGTAGCCAACAAGCCTGACCTCCAAGTCACCATCAAAGAAGAAAGCTGCCCACTGCCTTACAATAGCTCCTGGCCTCCTTTCCCAGACATCCCTCTGCCACAAGTAGTGTCCACAGCCTCCACAAGCAGCAGCCAGCCAGACCGTGAGACACGGGCCAGCGTCATCAAGAAAACGTCAGACATCACTCAGTCAAGAGTCAAGAGCTGCTAAGCCTTTGACAGTGTGGTTTTTTAGCTTTGTTTTGTTTGGTTTTGTATTTTATGTTTCTCTAGGAGAGGTTCATCCCTTGACGCACAGAGACAAACCCTAAGGTAAAGCCTTGGCAATATAAACATTGCAGTGTCTGACTCCAGTGCCGGATTGTTTTTAACTCAGGACTCCAGCAGTGTGTATACCTGAACCCATATTTCCAAGGTTGCTACATAGGAGAAGAACCCAAGAACTTTGGCCCACTCACAGGTTCCAGTGTTTCATAAGAGGACCAACCGACCACAAGGGACGTGGTGCTGCTGCACTTCTTGTTGTCAAGGCTGTGATGGAACTGAAAGCCTCAGAATGGGAGAGAAAATGTGAACTAGCTGGAATATTTTTAAATAAAGAAAAATCTATTGTGAATATTGTACATAGTGCAGTACTAGCAAAGTTGCAGTCTGCTTCTGCACCTTATTAAGAAAGCACTTACAAAAGGCCTTCTATTACCTTGCTCTACTTAATGGCACATTGAAGGTCCCTCTCCACCTGTATTCTTTTCCAAGGCTATTCTTGCTGAAGTGTCTTTAAAGAATAGAGGAAGGGAAAGGAAACTAAAACTTTCCATGTGGATTTCATACGTTCTGAGACTGCTTTCATCATGTTTGTTTCTAATCTGCTATGCTTGAATGCCGCGTGGTACAATAGAAAAAATAAAAGAAACTTATTACAGAGATATTATGCAAATTCCCAGATTTAAAAAAGAAGAAAAATACTCTAATTCTAACCAGAGCAAGCTTTTTTATTTTTTATACAGGGGAATATTTTATTCAAAGTAAAATTCTAAAGTGAATATAATTTTTTTTAATCTTTTCTACAGCAAAATTTATAATTTTAAGATTCAGTCCTTGGTTATCAGCAGTTATGACATCCTTGTGGCACATTTTTTTTTAATTTTGTAAAGGTGAAATAGCTTTTATGAGCTCATGTAGCAATCAGATTATCCTGTGGATTGATAATAAATATGGTATATAGTTAAATTTTTAATAATCCTCTTGTTTGTCTCTCATTTTTAATCTTTCAGAAGCCCCAGATGGCATGGGTTTGATAGGTGAATGTGACCTCTCAGTGAGCAATTAGCGTAAGCTGCCTTTACAATTTCTGGAGTACCCATCCAACATGGGAAGTGCTGTGCTTGAGGCAGCTGAAGGTGGAAAGAGGAACTAGGACTGAAAGGTGACTTATTCAAGTTTGGCCTCAAATGTAGAGGTTGGGAACTGGGGCACCTCTTCAGCTGTTATTCTGTGGCTGTGCTTTGAACAGGTTACCTCGTGGAAAGGATCGTGTCAAAATCCATCCCCCACCCAATGCAAGCTCAGCCATACTTCCACTGTTCCTCATAGATCCCCAAGTGGCTTGCTTGCAGCTTCCTTATCTGGAAAAATCTCATTTTGCAGTCTCAACCAATTAGTGGAATGAATCAGAAATCAAGTTAGCATTGTCCAGGGCTTTCAACATAACTGCATGATGGCAAGTTCTGATTCCTGGAAAGCTGTAGTGTATCTAAGTAAGGGTGCACAATGACACGTGGTTGTGGCAGTGGGCAGGCTGTGTCCATTGCAGAGCACTCTACACTTTGGGCTGGCACAGACAGAAGTTGAGAGCACTCACCTTTTTTCAGTTTTTTAAGCTGTTGGGTGTGACACAGATTGATTCAGGTACATAAAATATGTGGACAGAGTGCCCTTCAGATGTGATTACCATTCTCATACCAGCCTGACAGGTGTGTGAGCTGAGAGCAGAGTATATTGGGCTGATGCACAGTTACATGCACAAAAATGGCTGTGTCACAGGGAGATCTGTTACCTGTGCTTGCACAAAGTCATAAAAGCCATCCAGCCTTTAATAGCATAACTGCCAATTCACCTCCGAAACTCTGAGAGCCAGGTGCCTGTCCATTAGCACTACAAGCAATACCAAGTTAATCTTGTGCAATTCTGTGATGTGCTCAGCTGAGATGCCTGCAAGAATCTCTGATGGGAGGCAGGTAAGGGCCGGGCTCTCGGTGTGCAGCTACCACAAAGCTTGTGGGCAAGGCACTGCCCATGCTCGGTACACCCTTACATCTCACATCCTTAGATGCCTCAGGAGACACTCCCTGCCCCTGTGCTGCTTCTGGCATCATCCCAGTTGGTAGTGCGGGTGGCAGGCTGGGTTGGCCTCATCCCTGCTGCCTTAGGTTAGCTGCTTTTGCCATCTGTCTGTTAATTACTTTTGCCGACTGGATTTATTGCAAGGGGCTAGTGAGGGGAGTGCTGGCACATGTGTGGGTATTTCTTAAACCAGAGAGGGTGCACTTTCTCCCTGCTGATGCTGCAGCAGAAGAAACAGCTCAATGACCTTTCTGGTGAGTGCTTTTAGGGGGATTTCCACCTCTGCATTAACAGCAGCAGGTGCACGATGTTTCTGTCAACAATAATGAAAATAGTAGTGGGGAGGAAGGAAACCATGGGGACCACAAATAGTGCTTTGCCCAGGACCCCAGACTTTCTGAGGAGGCAAAGGCAGTTGCACAAAGGCTTGGGATGCACAAAATTCAGCTATGGTACATTACAGCTTTTGAAATGAGGTTTTCTTCTGTGTGTGGCAGCTTTAAATAACTCAGCAAAGGCACAGAAAGCCCTATCAAAGTTTGGTATATTACTTTTTGATGAGTAGCTGATAGGTCGCTCCTTTGGGCTAGTTCTGCTCTCAATTACACACCCATGATCTAAATAATTCAGCAGCAGCTAAAAGGTGTGTTGCTAAGCTTCTCACCACTAAAACTCCAAGCACTGCCCAGCCTTCTTGGTGAACTTGTGTTCAGATCTAATTTTGGACTGCTGTAAGAAGGTGAAATGTCAGTGGAAATAGCTCCTTGTTTTATACAGGCTAATATTGCTGTAGAGACAGTGGAGAGGAATCTGAATCACTGATTTTATTTTCATTTTGTAAGGAGCGCCTCTCTCAGGCCTCTGTGCTGTAGCTGTTCTCTGGAGAACACCTGATAGCGCCTTCATTCCCTCCACTCTTGAGGTACGGTTTCTCAGCTGATTTATACCCCTCTTTCTGTCCTTTAAAGTTAGTGCCTTTGTATATGTTTCTCCAGACTGATTCTTAGGAGAAGGTGAACTTTTAAGGTGTCCAAACCAGGTAGAAGTATTGGGATTTGCCAAGGTGCTGCCCTGAAACGTGGGGGAGCAGCAGGAAGTTGGGCGGGTGCTATGTGCCCGTTTAGAGATATTATCTCTCACAGTCAGTGGTGTTAAGTTTCAGTTTTCGGTAGTATTTTTACTCTCGGGCAATTTCTTTCTTTTTTTTTTTTTTTAAGAACTTTAAATATTACTTCCACACAAGTCACTCTTAACATTTTAAAGGCCACTTTTTGTTCCTGTTGCACATGACAAGGCACAGGTCTGTCAGATACAGCAGCTGAGATACTTTTCTGAATACAGTTCTCTTGAGGGCAAGAAAATATGGACATAGAAACAGGCGTGTAGGCTTGTTTCTGGTTCAAGCCCTCAAGAGCTGATGGCTATTAAAGAGTATTTTAGTGCCTGGGGTGGGGCCAGTCTCAGTGCCCTGGAGGCTGTGTCGAGCTTCCAGGTGGTCATGGCATTTGTGTGCACATTCAGCCGCCCGGGGATTAGTGGGACTGCTCCAGCCCAGCCCAGCTCCTCCTGCCTTCATTTTTGTTTTCCATTTCGCTTCTGTTATAAATGAAAATTGATCCAGCCAAATTAAAAACAAAAATAAAATATTCATTTTGCAATCAAATTCTATCTAGCCAGCCACAAGGAAAGAACAGTGCCGAGCCCGGGATCAGGTGTGCAACAATAAGTCAGCCTCAGTAGAGGTTCCCTCTATGCCCACACACCCCCCTCCTGGTACGAGCGGTTTTTATAGGGAAAATTCTGCCCGAGGCCAGGGTTACAGCAATCAGTCCTTTTCTTCCCCTTTAGAGTCCCACACATTGATGAAATTTCTTTTTTTGGCATTGGGGTGGAACAATCCAGTGTCTGGTGTTGATGAATCCCCTGGTGTAGGTACGGGAATGGCATTCACATGTATTGGCCTGGAGGATTTCCATGATATCAGTCTCGGGTCATTGACGATGAGCAGCGCCTGGGTGCCCATCTCCAGACCAGCCACATCCATTTACTTGTAAATTGAGTTTTAACATATGCCATGTTTCACTTATGAGGGTGAGGGGGGACTCCTAATACAAACCTGTGTGCTTCAACAAATATTCAATATTACATATACCATATTAAAACTGGCGCGAATTATATCCACTACACATAACACTTCCCTTCACATTTTTGGTTCCTTTAGGCATTTCACGTGCATTGTGTGAGTCCTGCAGCTGGAGTTTGCTTCATATCCTTTCCAGCCTAGTCCTCCTTAGTCCCTCCTCCCTGGCTGCCTTCCTGCCCTCTCCCTGCATCAGTCTGTAGGGCCCTGCCAGCCCCCCTTGCCTCACCCGCCAATTTTCCCCAGCGGTGTGACTTGGTGCTTTCATCCTCTCCTAAGCAGCCTCCAGCAGTGTCCTGGGCATCTGTAGGGAACACTTCAATCCTGTACCACCCTTGGAGCAGTGTGCTGGTTTTGGCTGGGCCCAAAGTCTTGGACTAAATTAACTTAATGGACATTCTGTGGACACTTTATGGGCATTTTATGAACATTTTGCAGGGATTGATATATGTGTATTTTTCAAAGGATGGGAAGGAGGTGATGTTTAATTAGGATGTATTGAATACTGTAGGACCTAAGCATGACATGAATGGTGTGGGATAAGGAGTGGAGAATGTGCTGGTTTCGGCTGGGGTTAAGTTGATTTTTTCACAGTAGTAGGAGAAGGTTATGTTTTGGATTTTGAACCAAAATTGCCCACTGTGTCACCTAAGCCTTTTTGCCTCCAGTGGACAGCCATGTTATGGAAGGGGATAAACCAATTCACACGGACTACATAAAAAATGGCATGGAGCAGCCCTGAGTCACCAGTGTGGGGCTTTCCCCTGCCCCAAAACACAGCCCTGCTCCTCCCAGTGCGGCTCACCCCCCGCCCTCACAGCCCGAGTGTCTCTGGGGGTGCTGCATCCTCCCATGGGGTGCTGTGGTACCCCACTGTGCCCAGCCACATCCCTGCTGCCATGAGGACAGAGGACCCTGCAGATGACGCCTTTCAAGGTGGCTTTCCCTAAAAGCCATTTCCTTGAAGGCTTCCGCTGCCCCAGCACATTCTGTGTGACTCATCCTTGTATTTGAACATTTTGCAGCTTCCTTTGGCATTTGCCATACTTTTCTGGAGAAAATGAGGTAATTCCTGTTTTGCTGGAAGGCCTTACAGTGCCATGGCTCTGTGCATTTCGGGAGAATATTGCTACTCCCATTTGGAGACACAAGTTTCTTGGTATCACAGAGACTTTGTGAGCATTTGGTGTTTATTGGTAGAGGAAAATTTACAGGGAAAATGTAAATGATGAGCATTTCAAAGAGTTCTTCTAAAATGAATTATATAAAATCAATTCTATAAAATACTAGAATCTCCTGAGGTTGAAGGGATCATCAAAATCCAACTCTTGGCCCTGCACAGGACAACCCCAAGAGTCATACCATGTGCCTGAGAGCATTATCCAAACACTTCTTGTGTTCTGTCAGGTTGATGCTGTGATCACTTCCCAGGGGAGCCTGTTCCAGTGCCCAACCACCCTTTGGGTGAAAAGCCTGATATTCAACATAAACCTTCCCTGACACAGCTTCCTACCTCTTCTGTTAGTCCTGTCACTGGTCACCACAGAGAAGACATCACTGCCTGACTCTGCTTCCAAAGAAGCTGTAGGCCGCGATGAGCTCTCCAGCTGAACAAATCAAGAGACCTCAGCCACTCCTCACACAGCTTCCCCTCAAGGCCTTTCTAACAGAATGAATAGTTCTACAATTAATTGTGTGTAGATGTGGCACTTAGAGACTTGGCTTAGTGGTGGGCTTGGCAGTGTTAGGTTAAT